TTTTAGAAATATTTTAAATGGTTTTGCTAAATATTGTTCTTTAGTCGCTTTCTTTTGAGTCGAAGGGCCGAGCATTAGTGGACGTTGTCTAATTTCATTAAATTTTACACAGTTTACGCATTTTATAATTCAAAATTTCTCGATGTTCCGTCTCTACTTACGATATTTATCATTCATGAAGCGATAAAGGTTTTAAGGGGGTCGAATTTTGTTGGACGTCCGAAGAGAGGAGGAGGTCACGGAAACTCGAACAGACTGGGACGGGAGGAAAAGGGCGAGTAAAAATTTCAAGAAAATTGCTCACATCATGGACAGTCCCATAGTGTTCGGCATATCCTAACTGTGCGTAAATTAATTATAGCAATTTGTGTCGATGAAGACGAGTAAAAGGCTGAAGACAAACTCGTGCAGTGACCCGTCAAAATCACTCTCTTTAGGAATACAGAGGCACGGAAATCACGAAATTCGCCGCAAATTCCAAATTTTTAACAGTAAATTGAATCGCTACGCAACAATAAAAATTTTCTCGTTGTCGAGAGAAGATCTATCGTTGACTCGTTCGATTACTTAATGCGAGTGCTTTTCCGAGTTTTGCTTCGTTTGCAGCGATTGTTTAAATAACTTAATGTAAATTTAGACTACGATCTTTCTAGATTCAAATATTTTTTAACTTTGATAAGCAAAAAATCACAATTAGCGGCGGTGGTTTTCAATAAGAATCGATCGGTTTCCTTCGGGGGAATCGCATGTTTTCATTGTTAATTTTCCAATGGAATTGTTAATGCAAAATGAAAATTAATTAATTAATAAATAGCCTACTATAAATCCTTTATTCCCCGTTATAGTTTATATATTACAAACGTATATAGCTATATACTTTAATATCCCGTCTGAACCTTAATTAATTAGGATAATCCGACTTCATTGGTCATTTCGTTTCTTCTATTTTCACACAAGTTTTGTGTTACGGCAGTCAACAGAATAGTACAATATTTTAATAAACTAATTTCTCTACCGAACATTAAAAATTCGTCGAAAAGATTAAAATTATTATAAATATGATAAATAAATAGAGATTTTATTATAATATTCGAGGAATTAAAACAATCATTTTTGCATCGGAAATTTACAATGCAAATTAGAATAGGAATATTTCTTAATTAATACAAGTTCGGTTTTCGCAACAGTCGCCGATTTTTCTTGGCACAATGGATAATTTCAAAGAATTGAAGCAGTGGCAGACCTGGCACCCGGTCTCGGCCCGGTGTAATACGGGTGGTTCCGAAAGACGCGGAAGAGTGGCGTACACCCGACGTTAAACGGGTGGTGGTCGTAACTCCGGACGACGGCGCCTCGTCTCTCGTCCAATATCTGGAGCGGCGATACCCGGAAGTTCCCGAATGGACGGTGGAGACACGGTCAATTGAGACAGAAAGGAGTCCGAAGAAATAACGGAAGAATCCGTCCAGAGTAAAAGGCCTCGGTGGAAAAGGTGGTTTTGCTGCCGGAAATCATAAAGCTTTTCTCTGCTCAGGCCTTCTCGCACGGATTTCAACTTTCCACCGAATGTGACACGGCACCCGGAAATGATTTTTTACCCGAATACGATACTTTCACCCGGAATTGACCTTTCATTCGGCTACGACTTAATCAACTGGATTTGACTTTACGGACGTTCTTCTACTTCGGTTAAAGTGCCCGGAACATCGACAGTGATATCTACAGTGGCAAAGTGACAACGAAACATTAACCATTGTTCTGGCGTTTTAATTAAAAACCGCATTCAAACGAGTATAACTGGCCAAAGCAACTTATTATAATAGGCCTATACAAATGTGTATAATACCATCTGTCACAGATGGCCCGTGACAGGTGGTATTAATACAATTTCAACTTTGTACTAACGTGTCTCACTCGTTAGTGTTTTTCGTCGAACTCGTTTCTGAAATTTCCACACGTTGATTACGATTTCAAATCTTACAAATCTAACTTGTACAGTATATCAACTGTCGAACGCGTGTTGTCCTGGCCGAAACAAGGTAAAACGCGGTAATAAATTAAAAATTAACTTTACAAATATTACGAGCGTCGAATCTGAAAAATTGCAAAAAATAAAAAATAAGCAAGAATTATATGAAGAAAATTTCGAAATTTATTGTTGAAAGATGAATTATGATTTGACTGTATTTGTCTAATTAACGCGCTTCGAGAGCCTATTCTTTAATGCTTATTTGACAGTTTCTGTCCATTTCTTAATTTGTGTAACCACAATCATATTTTCTACATCTGTCAAGTTTATTTGTTTACTTTTATTGTCAATTTACACAATTAATATAAATTTCTCC